ACACACATACATACACACATACATAAACACACATACATACACACATACATAAACACACATACATATACATATACATAAACACTTACCCCCAACAGTAAGATGAACGGGAATACTGGGAAAGGTTTCAGGTTCGGGTGGAGAGAGTTGGGAAAGAGGGAGGAGGAAAGAGCCAGGAGGAGCCTAAATTTAAGGAAAGGACGTCGAACTATGGAACACATTTCACAATTTCATCCACATCTAAGCACATTCAACAATTATAAACTACATTCCATCATCTCACTTTGTCCTCTCTCTCTCTCTCTCTCTCTCTCTCTCTCTTTCCTCTCTTCCCTCCCTCTTCCCTTTTTCTCTTTTTTTTTCTTTTAATTTCAATAGCTAAAAGTATATATGTGAGATAAAATGATCAATAAACTTTGACGGATTAAATAAAATTTGGCAAAAAGAACAACAAAAAAAAAAAAACGAAATTTTGATCAATATTAATTAAAAATTAATTAATTTTGGATACTTATAAGATTTTTAGAATACACAAATAGCATATTGCGCTCTGATTGTTGCAAAGTAAAAATATTCAAAATGGTTGAGAGATGTGGAAAAGATTGGGATGATATCAGATTTAGTATATATTTTGAAAAAAAAAAAAGATCGAAACGGTACAGCGTATGATAAGGATAAGCATCATCAAGCAAAAATGAACAAAGATTGAATACGATGCTTTTTTAAAAAAGCATAATTGTTACAATTTTTTAAAAATTGAACTTAACATAAAATTTGCATTAAATATCAAAAATTTACTTCAATCAGAGTAAATTTGCTACAAATGACATTTCTATTCCAGTAAATTTTTAATTTCAGCAATACTTTAATGCAACAATACTAAAGAGTATCAGTTAAATTTGCAGGCATATTTTGATGCAAAAATCAACGAACGCGAAATTTTTTCATTAATTGATGTGATAGCTTTTTTTTTTTTTCAGGCCAGCTGCTTACTGGCTATTTATCATTTTTATTGGTCGTTTTTGCAAAATGTCTAATTTTTTTTTTTTTTTTTATCCTTCAAATTAGAAAAAATTTCAAATTAAAACTTTCCCTAATACAATTAAGTGTAAAAATAATTTAATTGCTAAGACTATCAATATTTACGAAAAGTAATTATATCTTAAAATAGAAAATTAGAATGCGTATTAAATTAATAAATGGGAAAAGAAATGTTACAACTAACAATGGTAAATTTATTGAATGAAAGGAAAAAATGTACGAAGACAGGTTTAGTCAATTTCAATTTAGCTTAGCACGATTGTTGTCACCAAGGATGACAATGTGTGACAATGAGATATGAGGCAGAGATGTGGAAAATTATTGGTAATAAATATTGAGTTCCTATTTCGAGAATGGTAGAAAGAATTTATCGAACAATTTATCATTGAGAAAGAAGAAAAACAGAAGGTTATTTTCTTTCACTTTTTTTTCATATTAATAAATGTTTGTTATTTGGATAAATGGTAGTTTGTAAACAATATCTGTTTTATCATAAATCACAAATGCCTATCATATCATGATAATATCATAGGCATCTATCATAATAATATTATGTATGTTTACCGCATATTTGTCGAAAATAAATTATTTCATAATTTGTTTCTTTCTTTCTTTCTAAAACTATAGTATATTCCAAAAATAAGCATTAAAATAGCAACAAAAATAAAAAATAAAATCTCAAAAAAATTTGATATAAGCCATGAACAATAATCTAGAGAGAGAGGGAGAGAGAGAGAGAGCGAGAGAGAGGGAGATGTATAAAAAGAAGAAAAAGTTTTTAAATTTAAATTAAATAAAATATATATGGTGAAATAGATGGATGTATAAATATGCATGCATGCATGGATGCGTGCAAATTATATATAAAATGCAAAATGCAAAAAAAAAAATTAGAAGGACAAACCTGAATTGTGTTATTGTTTGATGTTCGGAAGCTATTGTTGTTGTTGCTGTTATGATGTGATTCGTTTCTACCATATCATCAGTGGTAAAACAATGATGACGAATTTCACAGGGACAGTTAATTTTCAATAATGACAGTGAACTTCCCATCTTCTTCAAAAAAAAAAAAAATTCTTAAAGCTTCTTGTTTTTTTTTTCTTTTTTCCTTTTTTTTTTGTTTCTTTCTCTTTCTCTCTCCTTTCCTCATCTTCTGCTTTTCTTTTTTTTTGAAATTATTGAAAATGCAGGTAGTGAAAAGCCAAAAAAGAGGGAAAAGAATTGAGTGGAAAAAAAAGAGGATAAAGAAAAGGATTATAATGATTAAATAATAATAATAACAACAACAATAATAATAATAATAGTAATAATAATGATAGTAATAATAATGATAGTAATAATAATGATAGTAATAATAATGATAGTAAT